ATCTATCATCTAGCTATCATCTAGCTATCATCTATCTCTATCTATCTATCTATCTATCTATCTATCTATCTATCTATCTATCTATCTCTCTATCACTATGCGTGTGTGTGTGTGTGTGTGTGTGTGTGTGTGTGTCCCATCATAACTCTGGAAGGCCTAGAGCAATTTCAACCAAACTTGGTACACAGTTGACTTACTCTCTGAAAACAAATATTGTGGGGGTAACTATGCCACCCCTAAGACATCCCTAAAACCCCTCAGGGTGCGTGTTCTGTTAAGATACAGCCTGTTGTGCCTTAAAATGGCTTCTACTGCGCAGCGTGGAAGAGTTGCCATGGTAATAGCTTCACAGTACTCTACAAGGGGGCTCCCTCTGGTAAGGAGGAAAATCCAACATTAGAAATTACATTTACTCTGGACATCCCCCCACACCCTCTATAAATAAATATCGGGGCAATGCCAGGTTATCAGCTAGTAAAACATAAAATAATAGAGTTGGAAGGGACCTTGTAAGTCTTCTAATCCAATCCCCTATCCATGATAGGAGATCCTATACCATTCAGGACAAATGGCTGTCCAGTCTCTTCTTGAAAACCTCCAGTGATGGAGCCTCAATAACATTAGGAGGCAAGAAATCCCATTGATCAATTGTTCTCACTGTCAGAAAATTTGTTCTTACCTCTTGCTTGGATCTCTCTTTAACAAGGTTCTACCCATTATTTCTTGTCCTGCCCTCTGGTGCTTTGAAGACTAAGTCAATCTTCTCTTTTCTCTGACTGTTCCTTAAGTACTGGAAGAGTGCTCTCATATCACCCCTAGTTCTTCTCCTCAATAGGCTAGACCAGGGGTCGGCAAACTTAAACACTCAAAGATCCCAACCGGAAGCCCCCCATTCAATTTTGGACGGGAAGTCCGGTTCCCCCACCATAGAGTCTCCTCCTAGCACGGTGTCCTTTTTCCTCTACCTTCCCTAACCAAAAGCCCTATCGATTTTGGAGCTGACCGGAAAACCCGCCCCTTACATGAGTGTCTTCTCCTGGCGCACTGTGCTTCCCCGCCCCAACCGGAAAAGTCCTCCCAAAATTGTGGCGCTGGCTGGCGACAGGGAGCCACAGCAGAAGGATGAAAGAACCACATGCAGCTCCAGAGCCGCAGTTTGCTGACCCCTGGGCTAGACCAGTGATGGCCAACCTTTTCAGCACCGAGTGCCCAAACCAGAACGGCATACATGTGCATGCATGTGTGCATGTGCCAGAATGCCGCAAACCTGAAGACCAGCTGGCCGGTGCACATGCGCACGCTGGCCAGCTGTCTTCGGGTTTCGGCACACAAATGCACGCCAGCCAGCTGGTCTTCACACGTGCCAGAGTGCTGGAAACAGAACAGCTGGCCAGTTCACGCATGCCCTATTTCGTGGTGGTTTTTCAGGCCATTTCTCAGGTTGTTTTCAGCCCCAAAACAGCCGAAAAACAGCCTGGAAAGTAGCCCAGAAAACAGACTGAAAATCAGTCTGTTTTTTGCACCAGAAACCAGAAGACGGTGCATGTGCCCACCTCTGGCACATATGCCATAGGTTCACTATCATGAGGCTAGACATACCTAAGTTCCCCAACCGTTCCTCATACAATTGAGATCATGGGACTCGTAGTTCAACAGATCCATAAGCCTAGACAGAGAAAAGAACAAGCTATAGTTTTGCAAAAGTTGGGAGATCTTACAAAAGGCTCAGCCAGCTTTTCGTTCTTCTGCTTTCGCATGGCTTCCGCTACGCCCAAGTTATAAGATGCCACTTTCTGGTTCTGCTCCCGGGAT